TTATCGTGCTATGCTCAAAACAACGATAGGCGTGTTTGTGCGAGGGGACACGCTAGTTAGAGCGTAATCCCCGTTGTACACATTTTTCCATGATCTAAACTGCTTCATAATGATATCCTACTGGAAAGGGCCAAAACTGGATGAGAGCGGATTACTGAACATAGATTACAAACGGGTGAAGGCATCAGAACACGAAGCAACAGATTGCAGTTCCTCGAATAAGATCACTGCCTTATGTTCTCTTACAATTCTTGCTGTTCAAGTAGGACCAATTTCAAAGCAGTTTCGGTAAGAGAAGTGCCAATACGGCAACGTTCCCACCGACGATTTCACAGTTCCAAAGGTACTAGTGATCCCTTCGATACATCCAGTGTTACGATTTAGCGTCCACAATGTGCACAAGTTACTTTCCGATGATCTCAGGTTTTAATACTTACTATCGCTTCCACGCCAAATGTTGACCCATCATGGATTAATCGGTCTACAAAAAAGGAAATGAATAAAAAGTCAAAGTAGTACCTGGAGAATCATGGACATAAATGGCTCCATTGGGGAACCGGGCCCTTTCAGCGTATCGAGGCCGGCCAGGAAGTCGTCATGGGTAGTGGCGTTCGCAATCTGAAAGTCACTAACTGTTCTGTCATGTATTTACAAAGGCAAGCTGTATTTTTCATAATCGCACGAAGTAGCCCTCATGTTTATGGTGGGCCTCCTTGAAACAAGATTTTAAAGAGTAAAATAATAGTTAGGCGACGTATTCTTTTGCAGAACCAAGAACAAAACAGTAAGAGAAGCTGTTCCAATTCGAGTGAGACCCGAGACGGTTTCGAACCAGTATCCCCTGCTGGCCGGGGAGGGCGATATCGGCTAACCGGCTCATCACGTTAAACATGTGGGTGCTGGGAGGCAATGGCACAAAAAGCCATTGAGGTGAGAGGGTAAAAACGTTCAAAGTGGCGTGATGGAGAACGCGCTCGCGCGGTCGCCGGAGGATGCGGGCTTCGTTTGGAGCCTAATTTTTGCCCATAACTCCGCGTCCTTGTGGTAGTGTTAAAAACATCATAAAATTGAAACAAAGAAAATCAGAGAATCAGCCAACCTTTCCACTGCTTTCCATGAGTGCTTTCATAGCTTCAATCATGTCCTGAGCTTCCTTGTCGATTTCAGTTACTTGCTGCCCAGAAGCTTCGGCTTGCCGCAAAGCTTCCTAAAAACTGCCAGATTCAAAATACCTGGGAAATGTTTTGAAATACATGCACTAGTTCTCTGCGCACAGCTCCCTTTGATTATACAAACAGCATCACTAAGTAGTAGACCACGAATTTTGAATAAAAAAGGCTACTCAGCTCACCTCTTGAAACTTTCACCATCTGCTGAAGCATCTGCTGGAAATCCCCGGCTGCTTTCTGAGCTGCTGCTTGCGTCAATGCCGATTCCATGATCTCATCCAGCTCGTCATCAGTAGTTCGAGGACGGCTGAAAATACGAACTGGCATTTGTAGTAGGTTAATATTTAGAAATTTCGATGTTAGTATGAGTGCTACGAAGTAAAACATCAACTCCAAACAGAACGCTAAATGACTGCATTGGGTCTCTCCCGAATTATAACTGTAATGCCGGCGAGGGCATAGACGCTACACCAGATCTGCGACTAGATTCAAAACTGACGCGTTAGTTGCCCAAGATTATTAATAAGTAAATATGTTGCAGGGGCCATGAGAGTGAGTATAAGGCGTGTCGTTAACAGAGTTGTCGTACCGGGAAAAGGGGAGAGAAAGGGGAGAAACAGCTATTTGGCGATTCCAGAGAGTACGCCACAGATGAAGGCATGGGTATTAACGGGTGGCTTGGGTCACGCGAGCTAGCGGCCAGACTTCAGGTCAATTCCCATCTCTTCTAGCGCCAATTTTCGATAATTTCGAATCGCTATCTTCCTATTCTCCCCAGTGATCATAGCGATGCATACATGGATTCTACGAGTCAATGATTCTGCTACAGTCGCAAAGTAGGAACGCAGCAAACTCAATTACTTTGTGATGAGTACTCATTTCGTTGTGATGCGTCTTGTTCACTGCTAGCTTTTTTCGCTAATGAACAGCACAATCAAATAGAACCCCGTGATGTTGCTTGACTATTTGCTTTACCAATACTGTAAAAAACAATGCACATAATTCCCTGATCTCATACAACATAGGAGGCTTTAGGGATAAAAAGGTTTTGGAAACGAACTTACTCGGTGAATCCTTTGAGAGCATCGTCAAGCAGTTCACTCAGACCGTCTGCATCGTTGACGTCTTTTTTCGAGGGACCATCGCCCTTGCCCGACATCCTGCAACTGAAATTTGGCAAAGACTGGTTAGAACATGGGGAAAACAGTTATCAACATACGTATGGAAACGAGATAATGGACAAAATGCTTAGGCTGTGTTCATACTTTGCGGAACATCCACCAGCGTCTACCAGCGTTCACTAGCGTTCCGGACATAAGGTAGATCAGCGACTAGGAAAGTATAGATATTGATCCAGCGTTTTAAGCGTAAGCCACCGTTTTGTGCTTTGCAATCGCCGAAAACGCCAGCGTACGCTCAGCACGTAGTTCGATATCTAATACTTTCCTAGCCGATATCTATACTTTCCTAGCCGCTCGAAACTCTAAAGCTCTTAACGCTACAGCAAAGTATGGACGCAGTCTTGCTATGCCGCTTACATTCTGCATACATTCTCAAACTGTTACCTGCACTATAAATGATAAATGATATCAAGCCAAAGTTGAATGAAGACAATCACTAGTGTTCAGGGCGGTACTCCGCTCTGGGGAAAGGAGAGAGAAGACGTTTTGTAAACACTTGTGAATGTGGTGTTACGCTTTATAAAGTCTTGTAAACTTATACAAAGCTGAGAAATTGGTACGTTTCGTGCTGCGTACGATCCGGTGTCACACGAGGGCATATCACTAGTGGGAAATTTCGGTCGAGTCAGTACGACCCGGGGGGGGGGAAGGGGCGGGTCGGTACGACCTCCTCTCTGGCTCTCTCCTCATCGAGCTGTTGAGCGGGGCGGGGAAAAGGTGGGGGTATATAGCACACATGAAACAAGAAAAATCACGAACAAGTAAGGTAACCTTCTTCAAAAGGTCAGAAGGGAAATACGACCCCCCCTCCCAACAGCGAACAAATACCCCACCTTAAAACGTCCGTGAAACAAGAAAAATCAACTACCAACATAAATTTCCTCAACCCAAGTACAGGGACCCTCTCCCAGCGACCTAATACGACCCCCTCCGTTGGAGAACCTCCAAGAACGATATGCCCTGGGTCACACTCTTTCTTCAGCCCTCCTATCTTCCAACATTTTGCTTATTTCCAGATGATATGGCCTCAAAAGAAACAAATTTATTGGCGCGAAAGAGTTCTCTGAATCCAAGAATTCGCCAAGAATAAAATAAATGCGCGATGACGGGCACCATGCGTTTCTAACGACTGAGGACTGCATCGGTATAAAAGGTAATGCTCCAAATGCAATACATCGTACAACTTTTGCAGAAGTTCACAAAATTGCACATTCATTAACAAGAGTTTACAAAAAGCCTCCCAATCCAAGAACATATCTGGACTAATGGGTCAAAAGGATGAACCAAATGGGTGAAGTTCAGCATAAATCATGCTAACGTACTGAGAAAAAGGAATAGAAATCTGAACATTCAAAAAACATAACGATTCCCCAAGGACAATCATACCAATCCAAACGAAGCGATAAAAGACGATTTGAGCTCGAGTTCAAGTGTGACGCAAATTAAAAGATAACGGTGTTGACGAGTCATATCACTGATCAATATGGGACTTTGAAATCCTTTTGCAATAGTTGGAGGGCTGCCCATTCACTCTGAAGAATGGCGGATTCGCCGAACAACCAAAAAGAACGAAGGCACTTACGGAGCGATCGATAGCCGACTTGCGCAAAGAGAACAGACAGTGATAAGGCGAGCGGGGATAGGTAACAGGTAAACAGTGGGAAGTAATCAGTGAGGAGGGTCAATTAGCCCAAAAGGGTTGCGCCCTACAAAATTATGAAGTTCTGGGGAATTATCTAGATTCCCAAAGTTTCAATAATGAAGAATTCCATGCCTTCTAACATAGGAATGTCAGCTAAATGGGATGATAAAAACTCTTTTACCATGGCTCACGAAATTCCCCTCCCTCGTGAGAAAAGCTGGGACCCCTCCCAATTTCCCACTTTTTTTCAAGTAGCCGTCCCATCACACCATGCACGACCACCGCTCAGCCTAGCCTTTGGTGTTTAAGCAACCAATATTCTCTGCTTCATTGCCTTAAATGTCTCCCACTCTAAAATTCGTGTCAAAGCGATATCTTCAACTACGGATACCACAAGGAGAGCAACGCAGTCACGTTGAAAGTTCCTCGGACGAATGAGTGTAATTGCGTACTGCAGCTGGTTACCGTACTTCTCAACACGCGCATTCCGGACTGATTGGTGGCGATGCGGTTCATGACATTTGAGGCGTCTCGAAGAGTAGGAGGGTGTGCCCTAGGCAAATGACTTGACGCAGCGTTGTCACGTTGAGTGAGTTGGGTCCCAGACTTGCTCGTAACGCCTTTTTTGGCCTCACCACCACTGCTGCGTTATACCCTGTTGCCATAAAGTCTCGTAGACAAGCAAAACTACAACTTTGGGCTATGTATATGCAGTTTTGTTCGCTGCGGATGCGGGGGCGTGTCAGGGTGGGAGGGTGGGTTTGGCGTTAGCCGAATTTCCCAATTGATGTCCCTTGTCCCTTGTCCCCCCCACAAATCCTATCCGCAGCCTCATCGTGGCGTGGGGGTGAACGGTTTTGGACTGTTCCAAAAACGTACCAATGCGGAGGGTGCCACGTCAGAGCCTGGCGAGCTACGCGTGGTTAATCTTCTCGCTGAAAACAGTAACAACTATGGGCCTCATTCCCCTGAAGCTGAGGGAACCACCGACAGGGCGACTGGGACCGCTCGGACGAGGCTGCTAAAATCACAGGGCCAACGGAGATTTAGCGCCAGGACTAGGATGACGATCTGTACTTTCAACGCACGGACGCGCATCGGAAGCTCACATCGAAGATCTGATGTTGCAAGCCAGGAAGATCAAGTACGACGTCATCGGACTGACCGAGACGAGGAGGCATCGCCCGCTACACGCCGTGTACGAGACTGGAGAAGAACTGTTCCTCGGAACATGCGACAGCAGAGGCGTTGGCGGTGTGGGCGTCCTCGTCAACACGCACTTGGCCATGAACATCGATTCGTACGAAAGTCTGACGACCCGAATCGGACGTTTGCGATTGAGAAGATGTGGTTCAACTCCAGCTTTGACAGATCTTCGTCGCCTACGCCCACCCCTGGACACAACGTCATAGCTACGGGCGAGGATGAGCCTCGAAGCGTTCTTACTATGGAATTGGAGAATTCTATAGGAGATCATACCTTTCTTCAAGGTCATCGTCGGGATTCGAACTAAGATCGGGGGCGCGACCAGAAGAACGCCGGCGGAAGAACTTCAATGCGGCAACTCACGCGACGGAGTGGAATGCGGGGTGAAAGGCTGTCTGATGTTATCATGTCGACCCATACCATCCATGGTAACTCGCAGTTCCAGAAGCCCTACTCTCTACGCTGGACATGGGAGTCTCCTGGTGGACAATTCCATAACGAGATCGACCACATCATCTGCAATCGAAGGTTTTGCCTGACCGATGTCGCTGTTGTCCCTAAGTTCTACACGGGATCCGACCATCGCCTCCTTCGCGCAAGGATGAGAGGCCGCCAAACTTCAAGAAGGTGAAGCCCAAGAGACCTTCATCAACTGGCTGATCACGTCATTCTCTCGCTATGCGGTCTGGAGGATTCTGTCATCGCACAACACGAGAGCGAATACGAACGCTGGTTTGCACATCTCCACGACTGCGCCAAGGAGTCAGAGGGTTCCAAGATTACCAGAAGCGTCTATCTCTGGAGAGCTGATTCGCCAACGTGGAGCCGCACGAGCCGCAGGCAATTACCAGCTGACGTCTGAGCTTGCGAAGCTATGCAGAGAGCGATAAAGGAAGACCTCAAGGAGAGAAGAGCAGCAGTACTGGTGGAAGCCGCAGAGGCTGGGAAGAGCATACGCAACGCCCGCCGCGACTTCGCCAACTGTAAGACCAAGATGACCGCCCTCCGACGTCCGGATGGAACAATCACCGCATCCAGAAGGGCAATGGAGAAGGTCATCCACGACTTCTACTCGGATCTCTTTGACAGCCACGTCCACCTGCAACCATACCGCTTGGAGCAGGATGGATATGTCGTTCCTGCAGTTCTCTCTTCCGAAGTCCGACACGCCATCTCGTCGGTGAAGAATCGTACGGCACCCGGTCCCGACAGGATCAGACCCGAACATCTGAAGAATCTTCCGCAGTTCTCGTCAAAACTCTGGCTCGACTCTTCACGCGCTACCTGTCGGAATGCAAGGTACCCACCTCGTGGAAAACCAGCAAGACTGTGTTGCTGTACAAGAAGGAGACCTGCACGACATTGGCAATTATCGCCCAATCTGCCTGCTGTCTGTAGTCTACAAACTCTTCACACGAGTCATCCTTAACATTGGAAGAACACTAGACGAAGGACAGCCATGCGAGCAAGCAGGGTTTCGAAGAGGATTCAGCACGATCGATCACATCCACACGGTAACGAAGCTCATCGAAGTATCGCGAGAGTACAAGATGCCGCTATGTCTCACGTTCATCGACTTGAAGAAGGCCTTCGACTCCGTTGAGACAGAAGCGGTTATCGAAGCCCTGGGCAACCAGGGTATTCCTACTCAGTACATCAGGATTCTTCGTGAGCTCTACAGCAACTTCACGACCAAGATCTCACCATTCTACAAGGAGATCATCATTGATGTGAAGAGGGGTCCGACAGGGCGACACCATCTCGCCCAAGCTCTTCAGCGCCTCTCTCGAGAACGTCATGCGTCAACTGGAATGGGAAGACATGGGAGTGAAGATCGACGGTCGGCAACTACACCATCTCCGCTTTGCTGACGACATCGTTTTGATAACACCAAACGAGCAAGTGGCAACGAGATGCTGCGTGAATGGACTGCGCGTCGGTTAACGGGCTGAATCTAACGAAGACGATGTTCATGAGAAACGGATTGGTATCTGATGCCCCATTCACGCTCAACGGAACGACCATCTCTGAATGCTCTAGCTATGTGTACCTAGGTCGTGAAATCAATATGATGAGACCTAGCTCCAGAGCTGAGCAGGAGGAAGCGAGCGGCTTGGGGAGCCTTCAAGA